ACCTGAGGAGTCCTCTGCCATTGACCAAGGCTGCAGGTGACCGCAAGAGCTGTAGTATGGGCTGCAGCTGTATGCCTACTCCCCTCACTTCTCCTCCGGACATTCACCTTTGAACAAAGACCAAGAACAAAGATCTACTGAAACTTGTAAATACTTTGTGATTTGCATCTCTAGGAGATTTGAATGTATGTACTTCCTGGTTTTAGACCCTTGATTAGTTAGGTAAGGGTAAGCATCGGGACGATGCTTCTTAGGGAGGGGAATTATGTAACAAGACATGTATGTACTTCTTAGTTAGACCAATCATAATTCCCCTCCCTAAGAAGCATCGTCCCGATGCTTACCCTTACCTAACTAATCAAGGGTCTAAAACCAGGAAGTACATACATTCAAATCTCCTAGAGATGCAAATCACAAAGTATTTACAAGTTTCAGTAGATCTTTGTTCTTGGTCTTTGTTCAAAGGTGAATGTCCGGAGGAGAAGTGAGGGGAGTAGGCATACAGCTGCAGCCCATACTACAGCTCTTGCGGTCACCTGCAGCCTTGGTCAATGGCAGAGGACTCCTCAGGTCCTTCCGTGTGAACAGCCTCAAATAAGCCCATGCTTCCTCAGCTATGGCGCTTCTTACTGATCACATAGTCCATACCAAGCTGCCTTACAAGCTGGTGCTTATAGCACATCCAGCGATACCGCCTTATATGCCTCAAAGGAGAAAACCAGAGAATAGAAGTGACATGGCAAACCATCTAGCCAAGCAACCTTGTGGATCCACTAGAGTTAGTGAAATAAGGCGCTTATGCTCTTTATAAAGAACAGAGCAAAGGACTAGGAACATGCCAAGCTGAATCAGGAGAAAGGAAGGAAAGAACTTAGACACACAATTGTCTTGCTCACAATTGCTCTACTATCTATAAGCAGTTTATAGAGCAATGGCAAGTACACATAGGAAATTGATTGTTTCTCCTTCTCAAACAAAGGAATCAGATTGTGGAGAGTCCAAAGTATCGAGAAGTTTCATGAAGAACAGATTCAGGTGAGAAGACCAAGTGGAAGTGCTCAGCAGAAAGATTTGAAGTCATGCAACTGAATTTTCGAACGCTTTTTACCCAACTACACCTTGGGCTGAAAAGTTGCATGGAGGTCGAAGTGTAGCAGTAAGAAGACGCCTTGAGCAGAAGGGTCACTTCGAAATTCGAATTTCTGCTCCCAATTCTTCTGGTTGGCTGAAATTCGTCCACGCAGGTTCAGGAATCTCGCCAACACCAAAAACGAATTCGACTTGAGCAGATTGGAGTAGGAACTAACTCGTCATCCTAGCTCCTCACAAGATAGTAGTCTCGTAGAAGTCGAATTGAAGAGTTTCGTAAGCTAGCTCGAAAGTAGAAGTTAGGAGGAAAGCTGCTAGCTTAGCACGAGAGAAGAAGCCAAGGAACGTTAGGCTCGGATACCAGTGAAACAAGAGCTACGGCGCGCAGCGACGCACGGCGCGGCTGGCCTGGCCGGCCATGGCGACTAAGGAGAGAGCGCCGTAGCTAGAAGAAATAGAAGTCGTCACGCAGCGGAATAAGGAGAAGCTAGGCTAAGCTGGGAAGGACGCCTAGCTCCAAGAGACGAGAGAGTAGACGAGGAGAAGAGATTCAAGAAGTAGAAAGTAGATCCAAGGATGATACAAGAAAGACTACAGAAGAATATTTATGCTAGCAGAAGTGAGGCGCGACTCGGATAGGAAGACCGTGTCGCCACGTTTCTAGAATGGCATCTTGGCATAGCGCCTCTATGCCATGCCCTGCTGTACTTATCTTCCTGACAGGAATACGGGAGTGTGCTCTAGGCTAGCAAGTGTAAGAGTTCGGAGCTAGCTAGGCAACACTACCTTCCCCTTTCGGAGATTCCCATGCATGATCGCATGGCGAATCTTGTCTTGTTACACCACCAGAGCTCAAACTAGCAGCAGCTATACATCGTTTGGGCCACGGCTGGAGCTATCGAATGTTGTCAGAAGTTTATGGAATCAGTCGGTGTGAGGCTTCATTCATATGCGAGAAATTTGTGGATCACGTAATCCATGTTCTTTCACCAAAGTGGGTATCGTGGCCTACACAAGACGAGCTCGTGCGGATGGAGCAAGAATTTAGAGCTATAGGTGGTATACCCGGCATAGTTGGAGCACTAGATGGTACATTTATTCAGGTCCGTGTCGGAGGGGAACACAAGAGTGACTATCGTAACAGAAAGGGACAGTTTGCTATCACTCTACAATTGATAGTAGACGCATGCGGAAAAATATGGGACTACTTTGTTGGCTGGGCAGGATCAGTCAACGACTCTAGGATCTTTGAGAATTCTCCAGCAAGACTGAAAATTGATGGAGGGGATTTGTACGATTATTGCCTTGTAGCGGATGCAGCATATGGATTTCGCTTCTACACCTATGTCCCATTTAAGGCCTTGATGGGACGCCTCTTGGGCGCGGCGCAACGCATCTGGAACAAACAACAGAGCAGGTCACGGATGATAGTTGAGCGGACCAATGGTCGCTTAAAAATGAAATGGCGTATTTTGCATAAGTGCATGGAATACAACGTCAAGAATGTGCAGAATGTTGTAGCGGCATGCGTCGTGTTACATAATATCGAATTGGGGCTCAGCACCAAGCCTCGTACCTGTGTGCCTCGCGATCGTGATCGGTGGTGGTTGCGCGGACCAGCTGCACTTGCACAACACCTTTTCTCAATAACACCAGGTTTCTCACCTATGCGCCGGCGGGATCGTCTGGCTGTTTATCTTTTCGCTTCTTGGCGTCAGGCGCATCCTTCAGTTCGTTCACCAGCTCACGGGTAAGTCGGGTAAAATTATCATTGCTGCTCTCAAGCACTTCTCTCAAAGTGCTAGCAAGTACTCGTGCCATACGTTCAGCCATGGCCTCCCAAAGCCTGCCCGCCTGTAGGTGCTCGGGGAGTTCTTGACGGGACTGGTGAACGCGCAGGGACTGGTTGAGATGGCACTACACCAGGTTGAGTAGCTGCGGGTGTACTAGTTGACGGTGGTTGCAGCACCCCTGGTACATCGTCATCAACACCACCCTCGTCATCCGGGAAGAAGTTTGCTAGCAGGTCCTCATCGGTCAATTCCGCGTCTGGACGCGGCAGGCGATTCAACCATGAAATCCGAGGGGGGGCGTTTCCTGGAGCCGCATTTCCAGCAACTCGTTGGTTAGTAGTGGATTCTTGCGTCGGGACATCATTTGAGTTGTTCACTGGAGTAAATGATCCCTCACCAAGCTCGTTGTCTTGAGACGACATACTGTGTATCTCGGTTTGGAGAAAACGCATATACTAATTCACCTGTGATAGCACTAAGTAACAATCAAGAAACATGTTCTTTAGAAGTTAATGAAATGAAGATAGTTGTTAATGGATGGAGAACTAGTAGTAGATGTGTCGGGAAGGATTCTTGCACCAATGTTGCACCTCAATCTTGCTCTCACGAACAACTCTTGCTGAACAATCTTGTTCTCATTTTGCACGTCAATCTTTTCAATTGATACGAGGCGCAACATGTGGCGTGGGTTCTCGTATCCCAAATTTCGTTGACATCGTGGCAGATCCCAAGCACTGTTTGCGCGCATATCCTGACGATCACAGGTCAGCTAGTAGCTGACGTGTTGATGAATTTGAAATACGCAGACATTGACTGGTGTGACTGCGATCGAGTGGATCAATGTTGACCTGACGTGGCTGACGAAATTCTAGGTGCCCACGATGGCAACAGTAACTACAAAACCTGACCGACAGGACTGTTCGACATCCACCGACGAGTGTACGAACGCCAAGTTTCGTCAGTGGATGTCGAGCTGCACTTCAGACAGCAAAACGCGTGGGACCCACGGATGAGTTTCGTCGACGAAAGTTGACGAAACTCGACGTTTGCACTTCAGACACGCCCTAAACTCGCCTCGCCACGCCGCGATGGTTGACTATTGATGCCACGAGATCGTTGGATGGTTGACTATTCCTTTGAATTTTGAGGGGCACGGGATTAGGTTGGGCAGTCATCTTCAGTAGGTGCCGTGATAGTGCCGTGTAGACTCAACTCTGAATGGCCACAAACCATGCAGCGATGATACAGCGTTGGCAGCATGGCTCAAATCGCGTTCCACGTGGCCTCTATTGAGCGGCGCCGTCGCTCCTGAGCGCGCTGCGCTACACCGCCGCTGACAGTAGTGCGTGTGCGTACTTCCACCCCGCCTCCCGGGCTCACGCGAGCATTTCTCAGACCAACATCACAGTCGTGAGTGAGCATTCCCCTGTGTGCGCCACAAACGACACGAACTTCTTATCTGGGTGCCAAGCCAAAGCACGCAAGAAACGAGCAGTCGCACACCTTATCACTCCCTTCCAGATGCCCCTCTTTCTCTCTCTCTATTTCTCATCTATTACGTCGCAGACATAGTCTCTCCGCCCTAGGCTTATTTAATCCTCGCAGACATTAGTATTAGTAGTCTCTCCGCCGCTCTAAGCTTACTCGTCGCAGCGCAGACATTGTAAACCGCCGTGAGCTGACATAGTTCTTCTCTACTCGTCGCACACATAGCATTCTTCCGCCGTAAACTTATCTACTTGCGGCAGACTCGCGAGTCGCAATGGCGGCGTCCGCCAAGTGGAGCCCCACCTGCGCCCTGCTGCTGCTGCTGCTGCTCCTTGCGGGTTAGCAACGTTTAACTTCTCTCACAGCCCCACCTACGCTGCTGCTGCTGCTGCTGCTGCTGCTGCTCCTTGCGGGTTAGCGACGTTTTAACCTCTCAGCCCCACCTACGCTCTGCTGCTGCTGCTGCTCCTCCTTGCGGGTTAGCGACGAGCCCTGCGTTTTAACCTCTCGCCGCCGCAATGCGCGCATTCGCATCGCTAGCCCGTGCGTTCCCCGCCATGTGCTGTGCCGTGTGGTGTTGTGCGGTGATGTGCTGTGCTGACCGGCGGTGCGGGTGCTGTGCTGCTGCAGGCTCGCTGGACACTCCGTGGACGACCATCCGCACTACCGCTCTCGCGGTAAGCTCCGTTTCAACCCTGTGCTCCGTTATAAGTTTCAACCCCGTGCACCACCCGCGCTACCTGCCACGCTCAGCTTCTCGCCACGCTCCGGTCATTCTCAACCCTCCAACGCAAGCTAAAACTTTTCGCATACTCCATCTCACCATCGCATGCGCCGTCGCATACTCCATCTCATAAGCCATCGCATACGCCATCGCATACGCCATCGCATGCGCCGTCGCATACTCCATCGCATGCGCCATCGCATGCGCCGTCGCATGCGCCGTCGCATGCCCCATCACACGCGTCATCATCGCGTGTGCCTTGGTCGCTGGTGCTCGCCTCGGTCAACAGCAAAACGTTGCTGAACTGCGCCGCACGCATCTAGAAAATGATGCTCTTTTAAAAAATAATGAGCATCTACTGTACATATTGTCTATGAGCACAGTACAAAATTGACAAAGAACCACAGCTTTGACAAAGTCTAATGGCAACGAAATGACCTAATCAAACATTGACGTTCTGATGCAAGTTATCAGTTACAATAGTATTTATCGTTTAAACACAAACGCTACTGGGAAACGCGAACACTCAATCTGGAAGGTCGACAAGGCGCCACCCGAAGCTCCATGGATTCGTTTTCTTGTTTCCGAGCCTCACTTCGGAACGTGCTGTTGCCTGGCTCTCGAAATGTAACCAGCACCAGCGATTTTTTATGTGCACCTTGGGTAAGTCTGCTCCCCGCCTACGTGCTCCCCGCCTGTGTACGGTTTCTCTCCCCTCCCCCTCCCCCCGCACCCGCGTTTCCCGCAGGAGCAAATTTGAGACACCGAATGCTCTCTCTCTCTCCCTCCCGCGTGTGCGCTCTCCCTCCCCTCACCCCCTTTCCCTCCCTTTCCCGCAGGAACGTGCCTGCTGAAGTGCGTTCTCTTCCCCCGTGTGTCCGCCCTCCCTCCCGTGTGTCCGCCCTCCCTCCCGTGTGTCCGCCCTCCCTCCCGTGTGTCCGCCCTCCCTCCCGTGTGTCCGCCCTCCCTCCCGTGTGTCCGCCCTCCCTCCCGTGTGTCCGCCCTCCCTCCCGTGTGTCCGCCCTCCCTCCCGTGTGTGCGCTCCATCCCCCCCTCCCCCCACCCCTGCATGTCCCCAGGACGCCAAGACGGTGGTGGTGGGGTGGAGGTACTCCCGTTGGAACACCAGAGTGCGCACGTGGCCGGCCCCTCGTGTCTTCTCTGGAGACGTTCTTGGTTAGTTCCTGCTGTCGCCTCCTCTTCACTGAGGCCCTGTACTGTGCTATGGTAAACTCGTTTTTTAGATGTGTCTAAAACAGTCTCTCCACTGAGGCCCTGAGCACCAGAGTGCGCATATGGCCGGCCCCTCGTGTTGTCTCTGGAGACGATCTTGGTTAGTGGTCAACTGAACTTCTTGACAAGCTGTTCAACTTCTTTTTTGACAAAGTTGTTCCCGCTGCCGCCTCCTCATATCACTTCTCCTCACACTTCTCTCTCTCTCCCCACCCTCACACCTCTCTTGATCCCCAAGCACACCTTTTTGCTCTCCCCACACACACTCGTTTCACTCTCCTCTCTCGCTCGCCCTCTCTTCCACTTGCACTTGCACATGCCCGTCCCCAACTCAGCGTTTGAGTGGAACAACTGGCTGCACCAGCACAATCTGGTGGGCGTCGATTCATATTGCTACGCCATGTGTTATGAGTTGACTCAAAACACCCTCTCCGTTCCTTGCGCTTGCTTTCCCCCAATCCAGTGTTCAAGTGGAATGACTGAGTGCGCAGGCACAACCTGGTGGCCGTGGATGCCAATCGCTACAACCTCTGCCACTTTGGGGCTTCTGGCGATCCCTTCACTGTGCTTCATGGGCCATCTAACCGTGCCACTGTCAAGGTTACAGTGGGAGATTCAACCCTCACTGGGTATTACACCAGCTCCTCTGGCAACGACTGCCTCACAGGCATGAAGGTTGTCATCATTGCTGAAGATGCTGCTTGAGTTCGAGGAGCCTACATTAGTGTACATTTTGTTATGAATTCATTGGTTATGAGAATTTTGTTGGAATTTGTTGAGCTGAGAAAGTCCTTAGGATCTTTTAGAGTTTAGCCTCTGTAAGGTATTGCAGTGGAAGTCTTGAATTCCTGTGCTGGTAAATTGTGAGAACAAGAATTGAATAATAAAGAAAAGATACAAGAGATTTATAGTCTACGAAATCACCTATTCAGAGTTGTACCTGTTCATGAAACGGGCTAGTTATCGAATCGTCTCTACGAAGAGGTATAATCCGGTGTCAAACATATACATTTGTATGTTCTAGGCTGTAGTGATGCATGCATTAGACGGAAGCGCCTTGGTGAATATATCAGCAGTGTTGGCCCGAGTGGCCACGTAGGTAAGACGAAGCTGGCCACGCTGCTGCAGCTCTCGAGCAAGAAAGTAACGGAGAGCGATGTGCTTTGTTCTGTGCTCCAGTCTGTGCTCCTGACACAAGGCAATGGCGGCCTTGTTGTCGACGTACAGAACTGGAGGAGAACGAGGCCTCTCTCCCAAGTCGGTCAGCAGGTAGGTGAGCCAGCGCAGCTCCTGTGCAGCCATGGCTGTGGCGTAGATCTCTGCCTCACTGCTGGAGCCGAGAACTGAAGACGAACGTGTAGAACGCCAGGAAACTGAACCAGAACCAAGGCTGAAGGTGTAACCCTGTGACGACCGCTGCGTAGCCTGGTCGTCAACCCAAGAGGCGTCCGAGTGACCTGTGAGGACAACGTCACCCCGTCCTCCAAGCACGAGCCCCATGCCCGATGTACTGCACAAGTAGCGTAGTACCCTCTTGGCAGCATCCATGTACACCTTTCGGTGCCGACCAGGAGCCACGTAGCGAGCCAGAAGGCCGAGAGGGTACGCAAGGTCAGGACGAGTGCAAGTCATCAGGTACATGAGGCAGCCCACTAACTCTGGGTAAGGACCACTCGGCTCTATGGACTCGTCCGAAGGTGGAGCTGAGAGCGAGTGACCTGTAGCTAGAGGAGTGGCCTGTGCTGAGGACCAGGTGAAACCGAAGCGCTGAAGGACCTGCTGCACCATGTGTGACTGAGTCAGTGTGATGGTGCGGCGTGCTCTGTCCCGGGTGATCTGCAAGCCAAGGTAGCTGCGCAGTTCACCCAGGTCTGTGCACGTGTGTCTCTTCTGCAGCTCCGACTTCACCAGGGCGAGAGCCTCAGTGTCAGCAGTGGCAAAGACCAAGTCGTCGACGTACACGAGAACGTAGAACGGCGGCAGCGAAGTGTCGGTGCGCAAAAACAGCGACGGGTCAGCAGTCGACGGAGCAAACCCAAGAGCCGCAACTGTCGTCCTCAGTGTGTCGTGCCACTCACGTGGCGCCTGGCGGAGACCGTAGACCGGCCGCCGGAGGCTCCACTGGGTACCAGGAGGGAACGACCCAGTGAAGCCAGGTGGGCGGCGCAGCCAAATCTCCTCGTGCAGGCTGCCCTGTAAGAAGGCTGTGCTGAAGTCAAGAGAGTGAAGCTCGTAGTCACGCTGAGCGGCAACGTGCAGCAGCACCCGAAGAGTTGTCATCTTCGGGGTGGGGGAGAAGGTCTGGAAGAATTCAACTCCCTCTCGCTGACTGAAGCCTCGAGCCACGTACCGAGCCATGAAGACAGGCGGAGAACCTGGCGGCCGCTTCACCCTGAAAATCCACATGCCACTGACAATGTTCGCCCCAGGAGGGGGAACCTCGTCGACGTAGGTGCCTGTGGACTTCCAGGATGCCATCTCTGCGTCCATGGCTGTCTGCCACTGAGAGGAGTACTCACCCGCGATCACCTCAGCGTAAGAGCGCGGGGTAGGGATGTCTGGTGCATCCGGGTCTCCCTCGGGGGCAAGCAGCATGGATACGAGATGAGGCGCAGCGGCTGCAAGACACTCAAGGTCCTCCTGTCTGTCCTCAAGGACGTCCGTGCCAAGAGCACACTCACCCCCGACGGACGGAGGACAGACAGACTCAGACTCAGCAACAAGACTAGCGGCGTAGTCGAGACGACAGGCAGCAGCAAAGTCAACAAGCTCAGCGACTAAGGCAGACGCAGCAGCAGACTCAAACGACGGGTCAGTGACAACAGTGGCAAGCAGACGCGTGACAGTAGAGTGCTCAGCACGAAACTGGTCAGATGCAGGGTCAGCAACGACAGGCAGAGAGGACGCAGGGGGAGACGGCAGAGGAACACGCAGCGGAGGAGAGGAAGGACGACGAACTACAAGGTGAGAGCCGGAGACAGCCGGCTGCCGCTGACGAGGAACACGACGACCGGAACGACCAGAACGGACAGGTGAGACAGGACGCGACGCAGGCTCACGACGCTCAGCAAGGCCCCTAGTCTGCTCTGTGTACGGAGAAGGAGCAGGCAGCGGTGAGCCAGGCTGTAACGGAAGACCAGTAGACGAGGGAAGACTGAGAACCTGACGAAGTGCAGAGTCAGGTGGTGGCTGAGACGACGGAGACGGCGGAGCGAAGAACAGGCGCTGCTGAGCAATGCCACCAGCGCCAGCAGCTCCAGCACCTCTAGCAGCTCCAGCACCTCCAGCAGCTCCAGCACCTCCAGCAGCTCCAGCACCGCCAGTAGCTCCAGGACCCTCAGCAGGTCCAGCACCTCCAGCAGCTCCAGTACCCTCAGTAGCTCCAGCACCGCTAGAAGCTCCAGTACCCTCAGCAGCTCCAGCACCGCCAGCACCTCCAGCAGCTCCAGTACCTCCAGCAGCTCCAGCACCCTCTGCAGCGCCAGTACCCTCAGTCACAACACCGCCAGCCCCAGCAGCTCCAGTACCCTCAGTACGAGCACCTCCGGGACCAGCGACACCAGCAGAAGAACCCCCAGCAGTAGAGCCCTGAGGTGCAGAAGCGCGACGCTGACGGCGACCGTACCAGTCGTGCAGCTGCTGGGAGGTGAGGGGCACACGCGGACGAAGACGGCTACTCCAAGGAGACCGCGGAAAAGCAGTCGCAGAACCCTCAGGCGACTCACCCCCAGACTCAGCACCCCCAGACGCAGCACCTCCAGACGCAGCACCCCCAGGCTCCTCACGCTCAGCGCCCCCAGACTCAGCACCCCCAAGCTCCGCACCCCCAGGGACAGCACCACTCGCAGCAGGACCGGAGTCACCAGTGACCTCAACAGGCGCAGGCGCGGGGGGGTCTACCTGAGAGACACCTGAAGGAGCAGGACCTGGCGCGGGGAGGGGGTCTACCTGGGGAGGACCTGGGGCGAGAAAGAGCGGCGGGGGGGGGGGAGGAGCAGTGCGGTAGGGGAAGAGGCGGTAAAAGGGGACGGACTCGTCAAAGGTGACGTCCTGAGACGCAAAGACACGGCGCGAGGCGTGGTCGTAAAACTGCCAGCCAGGCGCATCAGAGACAAAGCCAAGGAAGACGCAAGGAATGGCGCGAGGGGAGAGCTTGTCCGCGGTGGTATCGCGGACAAAGGCACGAGCACCCCAGACCCGGAAACGCGACGCGTCGCCAACCTTCCCCGTCCACAGCAGTGTGGGCGAGGTCTCCGGCAAGGAGACACGGGGCCAAAGGTTGAGCTGATGCGCGGCGTACCGGACCGCAAACGGCCACAGAAAATGGGGGGCAGCCGCATGGATCATGGAGGTACGAGCGACCTCCATGACTAAGCCAATGCGGCGCTCAGCAACCCCATTCTGCTGAGGAGAGGCCGGAAGCGTGAAAGTCTGGCGGATGCCGTGCTCCGCACAGAAGGCTGCCAAGAGGTCTGAGGAGAACTCACCACCTCTGTCAGGGTGCAGACGCAGGACAGGAAAGTCCGACTGGAACCGCTCGCGGAGCTGAAGACGAGTAGCGCGGATCCAGAGGATCAAAACATCAGGGTCATCCCCCTTGCGCTGCAAGGGGAAGACCGTGGTGTAGCGCGTGTAGTCGTCGACAACCAGCAGGAAGTACCGCTCGTGGCCCTGTCCACGGACGCGGGCTGGGCCCCACACGTCCAGGTGGAGAGTCTGCAGTGGAGCCTCTGTGGGAGGGAACGAGGAGGAGTGAGGAGCGGCGCGCTGCCGCCCCTCGACGCAGGGAATGCAGGGCGGCGCAGGCGAGGGAGGGAGGGCAGGCAGAGACCTGGGAAGCCCAGAAACCAGGAGGCGGGAGTGCATGCTGCGTAGGCGAGGCAGGGAGGGGTGACCAAGGCGGTGGTGCCACAGGAGAGTGTCGTGCGACAGCCGGCGACACT